TTGGCAAAACCTTGTCTCAAAATTAAACAAATACCAGAAAAACCTGTGTGGCTTGATTATAGAACACGCCTAGCATCTGTAAGGCCCTGGGTTCTAACCCTTGTACAATTTAAAAAACAAACAAAAAACAAACAAACAAACAAACAAAAATCACCAATATGTCAGTACGTGCCTGTTGGCTTAGGTGGTGTCAAAGCGCCAAACACAGCTTGGCATCCAGCCCACATTCAGGAAACACTTCCTGAATAAATAAACACAGAGCCCAAAATAAGAAAAGTGTTTTGTTTTGGCTCCCAGACTGTACCCAGTGCTTGTGGCTGAGCACTTCTATGGTTTTCTTCCCTGCTGGTGTGACTTGCTTGGTAAAGGCAGAAGCAGACCCTCTTTGCATTTATTTTATCAAATTGACTTGCTCTGTCTCAGCCAGTGACAAATGTTTCAAATTACAAGACAAACTGACAGCAACTCACATGCAGAAGCCCCATGTCTGGCCTGGATTAAGCACCTAGGATCTCCCTGCAAACCATTTCGCCGTGCCATCTCTACCCAATAGCTTTGGTAGGAGTCCCTCTTCAGGACTATTGGACACATTGATCACCCAGACCTGGAGCCACTTTTACTGAAGGCACCTTGACCTGGCTCACCAGCTCCCAGCCCACACTCCCTCCTGAGACTTCCCGAGTGTGGCAGTTTGCAGCAGCCCTGGTAGGATGAGGGTTGCCTCCCAGCAGTCTCTTCCAGTTTCACTTTCCTTTGGGGAGCTGTCTCTCTACCAGCTTTAGAACTAAGTCAGTTTTGAGAAAAGCAACATGGAGGAGAGAAAAGGTGCAGACACAGGCAGGTGGTGAGGAACAGGTAGAGAACAGCCCAGGCACACTCCACCTGCCGAGGAGGGGCAAGGACAGGCTGATGGCAGAGTGGGGGCTTGGATGTACCCTGGCCTTCCCAAATGGTCCCCTCCCAACAGTCCCCTGCTCACCTCTGCAGAGGGCTGTTCCCAAGAGTCCCTGTCTCCAAGCCACAGGTCCAGCCTATAGTGCTTCTGTCTTTTTTTTTTTTGTGGTTGCTGCGTAGTTCTGCAGGCTAACCTTATTGTCACCGGGCTCAGCTTGGGTGGGTCGGGAGGCTGGCCCTGGTGATCACATTACATGGCTGATGACTGGCTCTGGCCAGGCACGTGATGAGAAAAAGTTTAGGTCTGCGTGGGCTGGAAACTGAATGCCTTTCCCTTGGAAGGACATGCCCTTAATGAGAGAGGACAGCTCAAGGAAACAGGGCGTGGGCCCAAATTCTGCTCCCTTCCAACTTTCTTTTTCCCTCTGTCTTCTCCAGTTTTAGAAAATGTTAACACATGTCAGACAGGCTGAGGAAAAGATGTGTGTAGTAGGCAGTGGCACACAGTTAGTCCAAAGGTTCCAGATCAGAGAAGTGACTGATTCACTTTTCCTTTTCTCTCTTCCTCCCCTCCCTCCCTCCCCCACCAAAATGTGTGTGTGTGTGTACACACACACACACACACACACACACACACACACACACGCGCGCGCACACACACACACAGACACACACACAAGCACGCATGCACGCGCGCGCGCGCACACACACACACACACGTTGCATTTAATTTTGTTGTTTTTTTCTCTGCATAACAGAACTTGCTTTCAAGACTAGGCTGGCCTAAAACTCACAGAGATCTGCCTGCCTCTGCCTCCCAAGGGCTGGGATTAAAGATGTTTGCTACTACTACCACACCCAACTTTAATTCTATTTTATTTTGTTTTTCCAAACAGGGTTTCTCTGTGCAATGGTGCTAGCTGTCCTGGAACTAGCTCTGTAGATCAGGCTGGCCTCGAACTCACAAAGATCTGCCTGCCTCTGCCTCCCAAGTTTTAATTTCTTTTTAAAACTTAACTGTATATCTGTGTGTTTGCCTGTCTGTATGTGCAGCACTTGGCTGCAGGTATCCCAGGAGGCCACAAGAGGTTGTCTGCTCCCCCAGAACTGAATTTAATTTACAGGCTCTTGTGAGCTGTCCCATGTGGATACTGGTCTTCCACAAGAGGCAGATATCTCTCCAGCCCCATTCCTCAGTTTTCTGAGAGGCAGGTCCTCATGTAGCTGGGCTGGGCTTTGACTCATGTTTCAAGGACGACCTTGAGTTCCTGATTCTCCTGACCTCCAATAGTGGTGAGATTATAGGCATGTGCCAGAGTTGGTATCTCCAGAATTGGGGTGGCACATGGCCTTGTGCATGCCAGGCCTGGATTCTGCAAACCCCTTCAGAAGCAGTGCGCATTTCACTGTCCTTCATTGTATTTTAATACTGCTTTAAAAATATTTTTACTATATGTGTGTGTGTTTGTGGGAATGTACACATGTGGGTACAGGGGCCTTCAGAGAGCTGGAGTCCCACGTGGTTGTGAGCTGCCTGATTGGGGTATTTGGAATTGAACTTGGCAAAGGCAGTAAAAGTTGAGCCATCCCTTCAGCCCTATTTATTTATTTACTTATTTACTTATTTCAGATGGGGCGTCAGGTAAGCCAGACTGCCCTGGAACTCCACCTGTAGAGGATGGCCTTGATCCTGCTCCTCACACCTCTTCCTTCCCTGATGCTGGGGTTACACCTTGATTTTTTTTTTTTTTTTAAGATTTATTTATTGTGTATACAATATACTGCCTGTGTGTATGCCTGCAGGCCAGGAGAGGGCACCAGACCTCATCATAGATGGCTGTGAGCCACTATGTGGTTGCTGGGAATTCAACTCAGGACCTCTGGGAGAGCAGCCAGTGCTTTTAACCTCTGAGTCATCTCTCCAGCCCAGGTTTTTAACATCTGAATGTGGAGAGTTTTCCATCTAGTGCACTGGAGGGTTGCTGTGTTGCTGTGTATAGGGGTGCTTGCTTGTGACCCCAGCATTCAGTAGAGTGAGGAAGGAGGACTGAGCACTGGAGGGACGCCAGGGTTACCCAGTGAGACTGTCTCACAAAGCTAATGTCCAGATGTGTCACACATTATTTAGCCAACAAAAGACCATGCCTTAGTCATATTCTTGGACCAGTTTGTTGTATTAAATCAGGGCTCAATGAAACATTCAACACTTGCTTAAAAATTAACTACATGGTTGGGTACAACTTGTTCAGAGTTTTCCTCATCTCTGAGAGGCATCAATATACTTTCCTCCATTCTTTAGGTAGATGTTTACATAATGAGCGTATAGTGTGCACTGATCAGATACGGTTCCCTTATGGCAGGTTCCTGGCATGGACAGTGTAGTACAGTGGGTAAGGTGCCTGCTTACCATGACAGAGGCCCTGAAACCTACTTTGGGTCCTTTCCTGATTTCATTATCCACTCCTCCAAGTGTCACTGCTATGGGCAAACTTCCACTCTTCACTTACAAATATGCACAGGAACTTTCCCTTTCCTTTCATCCCTGCTTCTAAAGCACCCCTCCCCCACCCCAGGGTGTTTCTCCTGTTCTCACCCACTCTCATGCCTCTGGTTCTTTCTGTGGTTGGAAACATCTGTGCAATTCGGGCTCCCGCTGCTCCTAGAACATTATAGGACATCACAGTTCAAAAGAAGGTTTCTGGTCCTGCTCATGAGAAAGCAAATCAGGAGGCGGAGACACAGCCCAGGGTTAAGAGCCCACACTGTTCTTCCACAGGGCCCAGCACCCATGTCTAGCAGCTCCCAATCCTCTGTACTCTTGTTCCAGGGGATTCAATACCTCTGGCCTCTTCAGGAACCTGCATTCACTGGGACACATACACAGACACAGACACACATAATTAAAAAAAAATTTTTTTTTCAATATTGGAGACTGGGTTTGCTGTGTGAATGGATGACAAAGAAAGTTTCAGAGGTGACAAGAGCTCAGCTGGCAAATTTCCCTCTCACTTGCCTACCTCTTTCCATTGGCCTATATTTCTATCTGCCCAGCTCTGTGTAGGCCAGGACCAACTTTTTTTTTTATGCTGTATTCACTTAGCAGTGTGAATATCTTCACAGTGGCCTTACTTCTCAGTCAGTCACCTGTAAAACATATCTCAGCTATCACCTTATGGGAAAAACTAGCTGCCTTTTGAACCAAATTTAGTAAAATTCAAATTGTTTCTGTTTTTACATCTGTAGATATCAAAGTCATATTCAAAAGACAAACCAGGCTGGGTGTGATGCTACACATCTGTAAACCCAGCATGGAGACAAAAGGATCAGGAGTTCATATCTGAAGTTAGCCTGTGCTATGAGAAACCACTTCACAGCCTTGTTCTCCACTCCGAATCTCAACCAGCTCTTTTCCTGAGTGAGTAGGAACTCCAGGATTTCCCCAGGCACCTGGAAGGAGTCTCCTAGGTCTGCCTCTTCTTGGCCTGTACTACAGCCTCCTGGTTTACCTCTCTGCAGCTATCTGACCTTTCATAACCTCTTCACAAAAAACTCATCTCCCAGCCTCTGCTTGAAATACACTTGCCCAACTCCTCATTTCTTTCCTTTCTGTTTAAATTTCACCTCCTCAGAGAGACCTTCTTTCCTGCCTGTCATTCTCCCTTCTTTTGCCCCCCACCTGCTCTAGTATATTGTTCTGGATTATCAACTGGGCTCTACAAATATTACGATTTCTCAGAATCACTTACGTACATTTGAGATCAATTTTTATATAGCACAGGCTGGTCTAGAAATCAGTGTGTAGCCAAAGATGGCCTTGAGCTTCCTTCCTCAACCTTTTGGGTGCTAGGGTACAGGTGTGGCACCACACTGATATTCCTTTCTCTCTCTCTCTCTTCCTTCCTTCCTTCCTTCCTTCCTTCCTTCCTTCCTTCCTTCCTTCCTTCCTTTCTCCTCCTCCTCTTCTTCTTTTTAACAGGTTCTCACTCACTATGTAGCTCTGGTTGGCCTAGGACTTGCTATGTTCACCAGGCTGGCTGCAAGTTCCCAAGCATTGGCATAGAGGAGTGTGCCATACACCACCCTTTCTTACTAGAATGCCTGTTTACCTGTTCATCAGCCTCTGTTTCATTCACCAGTGTTAACATGAGTCCATGATCACAGCAAAGGTTCCAGAAGACAAACCTCCTGGATGAGCCCTTCATCCTGGGTGAGGAGTCAGGAGTCTTTGAGAGGCAACCTCCTTAGTCAAGCTATCTGTTTCCTTTTCTATGAAACAGAGGATGCATAGTTGGAACACTTTTGAAATTAATAACACTTTTGAGATAGGGTCTTGTTATGTAGCCCAGGCTGGCCTTGAACATGTGGCAATTATTTTGCCTCTGCCTCCTGAGTGCATTACCACATCTAGGCCAGGTTTTTTGAAGTTTAAAGGTCTCTTGATTAATATAGGGAGATTTGAAATGTTACTTTAGTAGATTTTAAGGCAAAGGGAAAATCTAATACAGATAAAACAGATTTAATATAGGTTTCTAAGAATGAACTGGAGGCTGTGGCTGTGGCTCAGGGACAAAGTATTTGTTGGTGAGGCCCTGGGTTCAACCTATCACTACACAGAAACCTGAAATTGTTACACAGCAGGCTTTTGTTTTTTGTTGGATGCAAATAAAATGTTCAGACACTTAGACTGAAACAAGCATGTATCTAGAACAAAATGGGAGTTTAGTTAAAATAACCATTTGGCAATATGGGAGGTAAACATTTCTCCCATCTATGAGGGCACTGGCAAGAGCTTTAGGTTTAAACAGAGGACTGGGTCTGGGTGAGAGGCCTGGGTAATGAAGCAGTCTTGGTGAAATGTGGTTGGTCCTTATCTAGGGAAGAGGTTTAATCTGGTTGGTCTGTCTAGAGCAGACCCTCCTGGAGTTAGCATGCCAATCTGACCCAAATTTACAACAAAGGGAACAGATGTTAAGTGAAGGCAGGATGGCAGAATCTTAAACTGCTTTCAATTTTTCCAGTAATATTTATTTGTGTGTGTACAAATCATGGATCATATGTGAAGGTCATAATCTGAGTCCTGGGGATTTGACTCATGCCTCAGGCCAGACAGGGCTTTCTCCATCAAGCCATCTCACTAATCTTTAGCCTGCCTTTTTTTTGTTGTTGTTGTTGTTTTGTTTTGTTTTATTTTTTGAGACAGGGTTTCTTTGTATTGCTTCGGAGCCTGTCCTGGAACTAGCTGTGTAGACCAGGCTGGCCTCGAACCCACAAAGATCCACCTGCTTCTGCCTCCTGAGTGCTGGGACTAAAGGCATGCTCCACTAATGCCTAGCTTTCTTTAGCCTGTTTTTATATATTTACTCAAAACATTTATTCATTTAAAAGATTTTTAAAAAGATGTATTTATTTTAGTGTACATTGAGGTTTTGCCTGTATGTATGTCTGTATGAAGGTTGTCAGATCCCCTGAAATTGGAGTTATAGGCTGTTATGAGCTGCCATGTGGGTGCTGGGAATGAACCTGGGTCCTCTGTAAGAGCAAGTGATGCTCTTAACCAGTGAGCCCTCTCTCCAGGCCCTATTTATTTATTTTTGAGACACTATCTCCTGTGTAGCCCTGACTGTCCTAGAACTCACTAGGTAGACCAGGCCTAGAACTTTTGGCAATCCTCTGGGCTTCGTTTCCCATGTTCTGGGTTACAGGTGTGAATTATGGCTTCTTGTGTTTGTTTGGCTTTTGAGACAGGGTTTCTTTGTGTAGCCTTGGCTGTCCTAGAACTCTCTTTGTAGACCAGGCTGGCCCAGAACTCAGAGATCCACCTGTCTCTGCCTCCCAAGTGCTAGGATTAAAGTCAATTAAAGGCATTTGCCACCACCACTCAGCAAACTACTGTTTCCTTAACCCCCTTTTTAGCCACCTTGTGGCCAAAACCAGTTTCTAAGTACTGGCTCTAATGAAGGGCAGATTAATATAAAGTGTTAGACCTTGAGTGAGAACTTAAATGGGGGGGGGGGTTGGTAAGCAATCCATAGGCTTATAGCATGCCTGGTTTTGTAAATGTGGTCACAGAAACTGATTTAGTACTGACCTGGAGGTTATTTGTCCATATTCAAAATACTTCAAACTCAAATGTATTTCAGATCTTATTTTCTTACACATAGTATACATTTTTTTTTTAAAGAAGTGAATACTTTTATTCAGAATGGGATAACAGGAAGCCAGGCTGGCCATGGAGAGCTATCACCCACTCTTTTTTGTTTTGTTTTTGAGACAGGGGTTCTGGCACTTTGTAGACCAGGTTGGCCTCTAATTTACTGATATCTGCCTGCCTCTCCCTTCCAAGTGCTGGGATTAAAGGCATGCACCACCACCATCCTCAACCACTCTTAAGAACCCTGTTATAACCATTGTTTTTCTGTGTGTTCAAAAGTATGCTTTTCCAGTTGAAGAAATGAATTTAAACCTTACTTTCTTTCACTTGCAGTTTGAAAGCCATTGTTTAAAGTGCAGACACTACACTCCAATGCCTCCTGAAATACAACTGGTGTTTGATGAGAAGCTCTAGGTGAAGGGTGTGGGGCGAACAGGATGTTTCCTATTTAACGCTTTCAGTGCACACCAGGCCTACTGGTGGCAAGAAAAAAAAAATTCCAAGAATTTCAAAGGCTGCTCCTCACATGACTCGCACATGACAGACCCACCCTTTCCTGAATCTCTTTTACAAGTGTGTGAACAGAGCACTGACCGCACGGAACACGAACTGACTGAGGAAGGGCAGTGTCTAGCTAGCCCACACAACCCGACACCTCAAAAGAGGCCGGCTGTGTTGCAAATGTCGTCAACATTGTTGCAGAGAGAACCCAGAGCAGATACAGTTACTAATTACTCCTTTTTAGGGTCCACTGTTGTTTCTCTATCTAGGGGTTCATCATTATCGAAACCTTGAGACCCGTGTCTCTATTTTACAGATCTGGAGAGAAGCAAAGCCTGAGGTTCAGAAACTGCCCTTGACATCTCTACCCCAAAGGCTGGCTGTGGGATTTCATTTCTCTAGAGGGTAATTTTCGGGAATCCCGTTTGAAAAGTCAGCAAGTCATATTTTAAAATTTAAAATGAAAAGGGCAGAGTGACTAGGAGACTGGATGTCAGAAGGGGGACACCTGCTGTATCCTTACCTAGAGCCCCTTGAAGAGGAAGCACTAGGGATGGAGGCAGGAGCCTCACTTCTTCCCTGGGAAGGGCAGGCCTCCTGTGAGGCTCTAAGTCTTCTTGCCTCTTGGGAGAGAGAGCACGAGGCGACGGTGCATCCCAGCCTGGCTTCGTTGCCACCAGAGCCCTGTCCCCAGCAGGACAGTGGATGGAGGGTTCTGTTGTCTTTCCCATTCTGCACTCGCCCGCAGCGCTAAAGGCTGACCGCGCAGGCCCGAAAGCTGCCTTGCATTGACATTCCGGTTGCTATGGCAATGCTCCGGACAGGTCCTGGGAGGCCGTGCTCAGCTGACCTCAGCCATGACTCGGTTTGGTGGCGCTCCCCCACCCCCAGCTAATGGCCACCCAGAAGGGGTTCCGCGGGTGGATGTTATGTGAGTGAAAATCCAGGGCGCAGCAATCGAGGGGACAGGACACCCCACGTGCCATCACCTCCAACCAGTAGTCGTAAGGCGCCCTGACATTAGGAAGGGTGTCTTGACTGGAGCCTTGGTCAGAGGGGCCACGCCCTGGAGCCAGCTTTAGATTCTGTCTTTCCCTGCGGCGCGACTCAGGGCACCCCAGAACTCAGCTGAGGTCGTAAAAGATGAGGCACCGAACGGTCTGGGCTGTCTCGTGCTGTCTGAGGATACACGTCACACCTTATTTTGCGCACGCGTCCTCCGACACCTCCCAGGCCCCTCATTCTGCGCCTGCGCAGAGAGGCGGGCGCAGTCACCTGAGCGCGCACTTGGGGCGGAGCGGGGACAGGCGGGCGCGTGCCCGTCTGGGATGACGCGAGAGAGTAGGCGAGTCGGGAGGGCCGAAGGGTAGAGCGGCACATCCCGCTGGCTTGGTGCACATCGTCGGCCTCTCTGGGCGCCGGGGCTCGAGTCTCACTGTCCCTCTGGGTTCCTGGAGCGGATCCGGGGCAAAAGAGAAGAGAGCTCCGGGTCAAGGGCCACTGCTGCCCGGACTCGGCCGCCAGCCCGCGCTCGGCGGGGCCGCCTGCCAGGGTAAGCGGGCTGGGTTGTTCAGGGTAGGAGCGTGGGGCGGAAGTGCCTCTGTGGCGACCCATACTACACACGGGAACACTGAGGCGCAGAGGCTACGGTGCTCCGGGTCCTTGGAGTCCGGCTTGGAGCCCTTAAGGAGTGGTAGGGGAGGCTGGAGGCCGCCCTGCTTGGATCTTGGGGTGCTGCAGCTTTGCGTGGTAGGGCTACCCAGAGAGAGCCAGCAAGCTGATTGGGGCACCGGCTGAGTTCAGGGCTGTGGCCTGGAACGCTCCGGAGGGGACCTGTTGCCATTTCTTCTAACGGGCCGCTGCTTCCTCCTGCGCTGGTCTTGCACGGCAAAGTCTTTGTTTAGTCTTCTGAAACAGGGAAGTGAAGCTTATTGTTTCCCAGTCGCACTGGCGAAAACAGCCAGAGGAGCAGGAGACACTCAGCTGAACGATCTCCGCTGTTGGCAGGGAAAGAATGTTTCTGGCTTTCGCACGACTTGCTCTTCATAGCTCACCTGGATGCACAGGGATCTCTGCTTCGAAGTTTAAATAATCAGGAGCAGTCTGAACAGATTGCTCTGAAGCCTGCACAGGGCAGAGGGGTGTGTGTGTGTGTGTGTCTGTCTGTGTGCTTGTGAACACCTTTCCCTTATGCAGTTTCAAATGGAGCTGGTGTGGGGATCAAGTTTTAGGGAAACAAACATTGTATTGGATCAAAATTTTGCTTTTAGGGGTTGGAGAGATCACTCAGCTGCTAAAAGCGCATTATGCTCATGCAGAGGGTCGGTTCGGTACCCAGTAACCACATCAAGAGTATTCTGTTCTGGGCTCTGCCAGCATTGCACTTACATACACACAACACCCCTTCCATTCACAAATAAATAAATAAATAAATAAATAAATAAATAAATAAATAAATAAAGAAAGTAAAAATTTAAAGAATAATGCAGCCTGGGCTGGAGAGGTGGCTCTAGAGGATTCAGGTTTGATCCCCAGCACCCACATGGCAGCTCACAGCTGTTTGTAACTCCAGTTTAGG